ATTAGTTAAGAAGTTGCGTTGGCCATTCATCCCCCACTTATGGAAGTGGGAGTCTTCTGGCTGTTTAGGATAAATTTTCTGGCTCTTTAACATCTTTAAAAAATTGTCGGAATTTGGAAGCACTTTATCTTACCGGTCAAACGGAAATTGATAAAAGTGATAAGGAAAAAGTAGCAGCCGAAAGTCTAAAATCTTTACCAATTGCCAAATTAACTGTTTTTGAGTGTGAAGGCACCGAGTTTCACCAAATAATAAAAAGTTTTGATTTTGGTGAAGGTAATGGAATATATAGTCTTTTCGCTTGAATGTTGACTGCCGTTAGTTCTGAACAAAAACCCCATGCTTCCCAAGTTTTTCAAGAATTAATTAAAGCCAAAAAAAGTGACAAACAGAAAAACAACGAGATTGTTAAATTAAGAAATGAACTTGAAGAGTTCTATACTGAACGTATTTCTAAAAACGAAGAAATCAAAAAAGTGATCTCAGAACAAATGTCTTTAATTGAAAAAAGAGACATTGAAATTGCTACTCTTAAAGATGTTTTTAAAAACACCAAGCCAGCCCAAAATTCAAAATTGTTAATATTTTTGGCCGTAATCAATTGGTTAATTGCCTTAATTCTGGCTGTTAACGCTGTCTGAAAAAAATCTCCCCAGCCGAAAAAATCCAAAAATTTCTAAAATTATAATAATATATATGGCGGAAATAAAAACTAGTCTCGAAATCAACGAAATCAAACAGAAAATAAAAAATTTAAACCTTGGTCAAGTTAGTGAACTAATCGAAGCCTTAAAAACCGATTATAATATCACCGAAGAAACCTTAGTTGGACCGGTCAGTGCTCAACCGAACGAACCGGCCAAAGAAAAGAGCAGCAGTGTTTCGCTGAAATTTCTGGGCATAAGTGAAGGAGCCAATAAAATCCAGATTTATAATGTTATCAAAAATGCGGTTAAAGAATTAAAAGGTGAAGACCTTAACGTCATTCAAGCTAGCAAGCTCCTCCAAAAAGACGATAAAATTATTCTGGAAAATATTGCTCGGGAACAAGCCGAGAAAATTAAAACGGACTTGGCGGCCAAAGGTGCCCAAACCGAAATTAAAGAAATTTAGTTAATTAATGTTATATCGTATAATCACCAGTGGAAATAATCAACGACGGGAATATTTAGGACTTAATCATTCTCCGCTTTTTCAAGACTTACCCAACAAAGACTTCGGGGAGGAGCAAAAATTATCTTTCGATAATTTTCTTCGCCAGGGTCTAAAAAAGATATTCGCAACTTATTTTCCGGCCGAATTCAGTAATTATAACAACCTTATTCATTGTGAAGTCAAGGAAGTTCGTTACGAAGAACCCAAGAATACCGCCAACGAAGCCCGAGTTAACGGTTTAACCTGAAATTATGCTATCTTCTTGTTATGGTCTTTTGTCTGAGATTGTCATAAAATCCAAATCCCGCTCACGGGAGGAGAAATCAAGGAAGACGTGCAGCAATGAGTAGAAAAAAGTTTCAAACTACGAAAATTTGACTTACGCGAAAAAATTCCGGGCGAAAAATGGGAAATTAAGGAAAAAAAGAAAACTACTAAAAAGAACGAAACCCCAGAAAGAGACAAGGAAATCAGGATAACCGTAGAAAAAACCGAACAACGAGAAAATTTTCTGACGGCCAAAGTTCGTTGTGTTGGTGAGAAAGAGATTAATTTTTGTTACTTACCGAAAATTACCCCTTCCGGTAGTTTTATCGTTAATGGTCATAATAAAGTAGCGGTTTATCAATCAGTGCGGGCTCCGGCGGTTTATTTTTTTGCTACCGAAGAAAAAGAAATTTACGGAGAAATTATTCCTTTCAAAGGTCCGTGAATTAGTTTGACGGCTAATAAGAAAAAGCCTGGAGTTATCGAAATAAAATTTCTCAATTCTGGTTTAGTGCTTAACTTTTTAGATTTGTTAAAAACTCACGACGTATCTGCCGAAACCATTACCCAATTATTCGCTCCGGAAGACTTAAACACTGAAAATTACGCTGCGGCTACGATTCTGGAACCCGGGGTTAACGCTCCTAACTTTTTATTCACTAAGCCTAATACTTATTTTACCTTAGGGCAACTAGGTCGTCGCAAATACAACCAAAAATCGCTCCTCAGTCGTCAAGTAGTCGGGCAAACCCTAGCCGAAGATTTATACGATATTAGTGGGAAATTACTCTTGAAAAAGAACACTATTCTCGAAGGAAAGGATTACCAAAAATTAAGCCAAGCTCTCACCCAGAAAAAAATTTCTCCTCTGACCTTACCTTTTTCTGTTAATGACTTATACGTTTTGCAAATAAAGGCTCCCCACAACCCGGAAAAAATAATCTCCGTGGTGGGGTTTGGCGAAGAGTTGCCAGAAACTAAAATCTACTTTGACTTGGCTGATTTGGTGTGTGCCGTTTCCCTGTTTTTCAATCTACGTTACGGTTTGGGAAACCTAGAAAAGGAAGAAGAGAAAGACACCTTAGAAAACCAAGTTATTCGCCGGGCTGGGGATTTAATTTATAACCTCTTCGAAAATAAAATGGGTAACTGATTAACTAATATTAGTAACAAATATCTTGCTGCCCTTTCCCAATTCAAAAAAGCCGATTTAACCAAAATCCCCAATCTAAAAGATTTTGATAATTTATTACGGGTTTTTTTTAATATCTCGCCCTTAGTGCAACTCCGCAACGAAAATAATTCCTTATCCATGCTAGCCTATCTCCGCAAATTAAGTTTGTTAGGAACCGGAGGATTTAGTTCCTCGAATACTACTTTTGCGGCCCGCAATGTTAAACCTTCTCAAATTAATTGTTTGGATTTAGTCGATACTCCCGAAGGACAAAACGTCGGAGTAGTGCGTAACTTTACTATCCAAGCCAAAATTAATGATTACGGACAACCCACGGCTCCTTATTATCCCGTCGAAGCTGGCCTCATCTCACCCAAGTTAATCTACTTGACGAATGAGGAAGTCAAAAACAAGTATGTTATCCATTGCAACCTCAAAATTAATGAAAATAATCAAATTCAAGAAGAAAAAGTTCTCGCCCGTTTTCAGGACGATTTAGTCTGGGTGGATGCGAGTAAAATAAATTATATTGATACTTCTTTTTACCAGTTAAATTCGGTTACTAGTGCCACGATACCCTTTTTTCAACACAACGATGCTACCCGCATGTTAATGGCAAGCAACATGCAACGGCAAGCTGTGCCCTTG